CCTGAATTTTTATTAACGCATTCTGTAACAAAATAGCTAAGTAAACAAAGAGCTTTACCCTGAACGTTTATTAAAGTAATCTGTAACAAACAAGGTAACACAAAGAAAACCAAAAGATTTACCCAGAGTTTGATAAAGTAATCTGTAACAAACACGGTAACACAAGGTAAAGCAACACATGTACCCTGAACGCATATTAAATTAATGTGTAATAAACAAGGTAACACAAGGTAAACCAACACATGTACCCTGAACGCTTATTAAAGTAATCTGTAACAAAAAACGTAACACAAGGTAAACAAACACATGTACCCTGAACGCTTATTAAAGTAATCCGTAACAAAAAAGTTAACAGAAGGTAAACCAACAGATTTACCCTGAACGTTTATTGAAGTAATCTGCAACAAACAAGGTAACACGAGGTAAGCCAACAGATTTCACTTTAAAGTTTATTAACGTATTCTGTAACAAAGTTGCTCAAGGTAAACCAAAATATTTACCCTCAACGTTCATTAACGTATCCTGACACAAAATAGCTAGGTAAATCAACAGATTTACCCTGAGCGTTTATTAACGTATTCTGTAACAAACAAGGTAACAACACAAGGTAAACTAAAAGACTTACTCAGAGTTTTGATTAAAGTAATCTGTAAAAAACAACGTAACACAAGGTAAACCAACTTATTTACCCTGAATGTTTGTTCAGGTAATCTGTATGAAACAAAGTATCTCAAGGTAAACCAAGTTATTGACCCTGAACGTTTATTAAGGTAATTTTTAATAAACAAGGTAACACAAATAAATACAGCACATTTACCCTGTTTGTTTATTATCGTAATCTATAATAAACAAAGTAACGCAAGATAAACCAACAGATATACCATGAACATTTATTAAAGTATTCCGTAACAATGTAGCTCAAGGTAAACCAACAGATTTACTCTGAACGTTCATTAAGGTAATCTGTAACTAACAAGGTAACACGAGGTAAACCACGAGATTTACCATGTACGTTTCTTAAGGTAATATGTAATAAACAAGGTACCACAAGTTTATTGAGTGCTCTTTAACAAACAAGGTAACACCAGGTAATCCAACAGATTTACCCAGAGCTTTGATTAAAGTAACTGTAACGAACAAGGTTCTACAAGTTAAACAAACAGATTTATTCAAAAGTTTTGATTAAATAATCTGTAACAAACAAGGTAACACAAGATAAACCAACACATTTTCACTGTACGTGTATTTAGATGATCTGTAACAAACAAGGTAACACAAATTTACATAAAGCTTTCATTAAAGTAATCTATAAAAACAAGGTAGCACAAGGTATACCAGCAAATTTACTCTGAACGTTTATTAAATTAATCTGTAACAAACATGGTAAGAAAAGGTAAACCAACAGATTTAGCAT